GAAATTTTAACCCGGTTTGGGCTACCCAAAATGCTTGGGTCAGATAATGGACCTGCCTTTACGGCACAAATATCCCAACAATTGGCCAAATGCTTGGGAATAAAATGGAAGTTACATTGCGCCTACCACCCTCAAAGTTCAGGACAGGTTGAGCACATGAACAGAACTTTAAAAGAAATCTTCACTAAGCTTCATTTAGAAACTGGCGAAAACTGGGTAGACCTCCTTCCCTTTGCACTATTAAGGGTACGAAATTCCCCATATAAACAGGGATATACACCTTATGAAATTCTTTTCGATCGCCCCCCACCCCTATTACCCAGGGTGCCAATGGAGACTGACCCCCAAAAGCTGCCTGCCCCTATTTTGGGGGAACTTCAAACCCTACAACAGATTTGTTCACAAATCAGAAACAAACTAAATGCTAACGCTTCCCTTCCAAAGCAGGAGCCACCCGGACCCATCCCTCAACCCGGGGACTTGGTGTACATAAAGAAGTTAACTGCCTCGTCCCTCCAGCCCTGCTGGACTGGACCAATAACTTCGTATAGCATACATTATACGAAGTTATACGAGGTTGCTGGAAAGGACGCTTGGGTACATTGGACTCACATCAAATCAGCACTGAACTCAAACCCCAACACCGACTGCTGGAGCGTCCAGACCACCGACCACCCAACTAAGATAAGACTAGAGAGACTGTAACATGCTTTTAAAAATTCAACCCCTAAGATAGCAATGATTTGCTATAGCTACGTCAACAGAGGGGAATGTTAAGGGACGCCCCAACCCCTCCTGACCTTAACATGTGCATTCCGCTTCTGTACAAGTCGCCTGCTAAAGTAAATGGGGGAATAAACAGAGTAGCATGGCCAACGCCATTTTAGCCTGAAAAGTCCCTACGGAGAATCCAGAGTAGGGAGGGGCTACAGGGCTACCCACAAAATTAGCTTATGGACCGCTGGCTTGCGTGCATTGGCTAGATTGTGTCAGGCGTGAAAAATTGAAAAATTCCAGCCTAGCTAAAAATAAAGGCTGTGAGAGGTTCCAACTCGGGGCTGCGCTCCTCGATTGGCCTGGGTAGCCCTGGCTGCCAGACATAAACTCTTTCCCTTTTCCTATCGCCCGGTTCTCGTGGGCAAATTTCTTTTCCCCGTCGGACGTTGGCCATAACAGTCTAATTTTCCAGTTTCCTGTGTACCCAGGACTTTGCTAAGCACTCGTAATCCTCGCAGCAGCCCGAGGCAGCTATCCCTTTACACAGCGGAGGGAGCAGGCTTGGAGAGCCTGCCTTACCTGATTTACTCCGGACGCGGCGGGGGCAGAGGCGGGAGCTGTCTGCCGCCTCCACTCCCAGGCGACTCCCCGGGTCTCCGGATCTTGGCCAGGGGCCGTCTTTCTTCCTCTGGGCTCTTAGATCACGCTCCTCCTCACTCCTAGCACTCACTTCACTCTGCGTTCAAGGCTCGGGGGTCTGCAAGTCGGCCTCCCCCACCCTACGACGGCTGAGGCCGTCCCACCCGTTTCCTCCACGAAGCCTCCCCCAGTGTCCTGCACACGGTAGGTACTGAGCAGGACAAACCAATGGCCAGCAGCTGGGCAGACACACCTCCAGTCCCAGACTCTTTCCTCCTCTCTTCAAACGTCCCTGGTTCTCCGGAGCTCGCCTGGTTTTCTGCCCTTCTGCAACCCCTCCTCAGCACCGTTCCCATTTCCTCCATGAGGATTCTTCTGAGAACGGGGGTGGTGAGGAGGCAAAATGATAGCCCCGGGGTTTACAAAAGTGAAGGACATATATTTGGTGGGAAAATGGTGACAGAAAGGCAGAGGTAACTTATGGGACCCAGGCCCCCATTTTTTCCTGCGAGGACAGATTTCAGCTTGAAACTCCAGTTTAATAAGACCCCCTGACCCCTGTGCACACCACCCTCCTGATCCTAACGCCCCCCAATGATGGCTTCGCTCGTGTTGCTTTCTCAGTTCTTCGGCGTTTTCTGTTTTTTCATTTCCCCTGTTTCTCCCAATTCTGTTTTCCCCAGTTCTCCCAACTCTCTTGCGCCTACTTCTGAAAGTCCCTTCTCCTTTGATTCCTTTCTGCTTAGTTCTCCGAAGAGCCTTTGGTCCAGTTCTGCAGAAGGCCTCCTGTAAATCTCTCTCGATTCTCTTCTGCCCACGTCTGGAAGTTTCCTGCCTGTCCCTGCTGCTCTTCTCGTGCCCGACCCTCCCGACGGGCTCTGGGCAACGTCTGGGCCTCTTCTGGCTTTTCCCGCCTCCCCTCCCTGCTGTGCGCTTGCTGCGGCCCCGGCCCCGGCCCCGAGGCCGCCACTGAAGGGCTCGTCTTCACCCGTCTCTTTCTCGCTCTCCATGAGCTTCCCTTCCCACTGCTTCATCACCTTCTCAGGTTCGTCGCTCCCTCTTTTCGTGTCCTTCTTTGCCATTGTTTTATCTTCATTCACCGCAGCGATGGCCTCTTCTGAAAAGAGAAAGGAGGGAAGAAAGATGAAGTGTGTTCATCTCTGGGCCTGTGGAGGCCTCTGTTTCTGAGAGACAGACGAGAGAAAGGCCCTGCGATGGACTATTTTTGCAAGCTCTTTAAATTGGCGTTGACAGCACTCCTTTCCAAGAGGAAAGAAAGGTGTCATTTACTGAGTGCCAGTCCTGTCCTGAGCATCGTGTGAGGTGCTGTGCAGATTATACCGTTTGGTCATCATGAAACTTTATAGTGTCACTGATTAGAGTTTGCAGTCAAGGAACCTGATGGTGACACAATGATCACACTGCAAGTAAATAAGTGGCAAGGCCAGAATTTGAACCCAGGACAGTCTGACCCCAGAGCATATTCTCTTTGCATGACACAAAATATCATAGGTGCTGGGAAACAACAAAAGGGTTCTTTTCTCTAGCATCCTCATTCTGTTGGAGTGAGCAGGATTGAAGCCATATTGGGACCTAAAACCGCCTGGGCCGGGTGGGGGGGGCAATGGTTAAAAAGGACAAAAAGAGGCCCAGCCCGTGGCTCACTCGGGAGAGTGCGGTGCTGATAAACACCACGGCCACGGGTTCGGATCCCATATAGGGATGGCCGGTTGCTCACTTGGGAGAGCGTGGTGCTGACGGCACCAAGTCAAGGGTTAAGATCCCCTTACCGGTCATCTTTTTGGGGACAAAAAAAAAAAAAAGGACAAAAAAGATAATTTTCTCTCCACTCTTTCTTCCCAGCTCCTGACTTTCTTATCTTGTTTGCTAAATGGGAAAACAAGGCTAAAAAGCTAATCAGTACTTTGCAAAGCTGACAGTTCTTTCTTTGAGGTTTGTAGAATTTTGAGAAGTGATCAATGCTAAATGTCTGGAAGCCGACCTTGGCCACCTGCCAAGTCAACTGTAGAGCTGCAGAGTTCTGCGAAGGGAAACTACACAAAAGAGTCTGATTCTACTCAAGAGCACATCAAAATCTTGTGGGGCCCTGAGATAACAGTGAAGCGGAGAACAAAAACCAGATGAGGCCTTGGCGAGACCTCGTACCCGACTCGTAGACCTTGCACTTGTGCTCTCGTAGCTCACACCCCCTTCTCTCCTGCTTTTCACTTCCCACGTTCCATTCCCTCAACACCCCCCCCCCACTTAAAAAACCCCTCAGTAAATCTAGGTCTTTGAGATGGGATCGCCCACCACCTCCTCCAGCTGAATACATCTGCTTTTCTAACACCAACCATTTGATTTCTGACTCTTTTTTTCTTCTGAAGTGGGTGGGCAGCCGGACCTGTGAGTTTGTATGAATTTTAGGGAACCTCAGGCAGAGCTGAGTGTGCCCTGTAACAATTCGACCATCCTCTTTGGGGTTTTTTGGTTTTGTTTGTTTTGTTTCTGTGGCTGGCTGGTATGGGGATCTGTACCACTTTCTCTTTGTTCCTGGGAAGCACATTCATTATTTGTTGGGAGATTTCCTGTAAAAATGTGAGCAGGCTGCTAGCAGGAAGTTCAGCTGAAGAGCTGTTTTACAGCAAAAGGGATCCTTGCTCCTCGTTTGTAACAGGTACAGAGAAAAGTCACCAGTCCCCTCCGGAGTCTCCCTTACTTTCTCTTCCCGGAAGTCGCTGGTCTCTAAGTCGCCTGCAGAGGCTCTTGGGCTCACAGCCATTTGGAGGTGAAGATGTACACAATGCTGCTTGCCTGCTGTTCCGAGAAGGAAGTGCCACCAGCCTCAGTGTTTTGGGGAGGACACTTCCCCCAGCACATGGCCCGCCAAGGGGAGGGGAGGCTGCTTGGAGCATCTGCCATTTCCCTGCTGTTACTTTTCACATCTGTTGCTCCTGTGGCTTCACAGAACACTCCAAGGACACATGGGGGCAGAGGCAGAGCCCCTCTCTGAGGGGATCCAGCCACCACATGGCAGGCTCTTGATAATACAGGGCTGTCATCTGGATGCTCAGGTGCCCAGAAACCTTGTTACCATGCCTGGGCCACAGAGGATGTCAGCCTCCTGGAGCCTGTAGGGCTGCAGCCAAAAATCTGCACAGGGCTCTGTCCCCGCAACCCCCAACCCCTTCTCCCCTTCACTGCAACATGGCTGGAGTGACGGTGTGGCAGGGGACGGGGGAAGACAGAAGCTGTCTTCCTCACCAGACACAGTATGGAACCGTGATAAAAGCATGGGCCCTGCAGCCAGACTGACCAAGACTGAAAACTACTTGGGGGATGTGACGGTTAGTTCTAGGTGTCAACTTGATTTGATTAAGGGATGCTGAGAAGCCTGATAAAGCTACCCCTTTTTATTTTTATTTTTTTATTTTTTTATTTTTTTTTCAAAAAGATGACCGGTAAGGGGATCTCAACCCTTGGCTTGGTGTTGTCAGCACCACGCTCAGCCATTGAGCAAACCGGCCATCCCTATATAGGATCCGAACCCGCAGCCTTGGTGTTATCAGCACCGCACTCTACCGAGTGAGCCACGGGCCGGCCCAAGCTACCCCTTTTTAAAAAACATCTTTTTTGTATGTCCATAAGGTGTTTCTAGAAGATATTAGCATGAGAGCCTGAGTGGACTGGGTGGGAAGCATCTGCCCTCAGTATGGGGGGGAACCATCCAATCCCCTGGGACCCTGGAGAGAACAAAAAACGCAGAAAAATGGTGAATTTCTCCCTGTCCACTGGAGCTGGGATGCACTCTCCTCTCCTGTCCGTGGACATCAGAGCTCGAGACTCTTCAGCTTTTGGGTTCCAGGACTTACACCAACGACACCTTCAGCTTCCCCAGTTTTGAGGCCTTCAGACTTGGACCGAGCCACGCTACCGGCATCCCATTTGCAGACGGCCTTTCGTGGGACTTCTCTTCGCAACTGCGTGAGCTAATTCCCCTAATAAATCCGCTCATATATAACATATCATATTGCTTCTGTCTCTCTGGAGAACCCTGACTAATCCAGGGGACCTGTAACCCCTCTGTGTCCTCATTTGTAAAATCAGGCTGGTGTACAGTTGGCCCTTGAACTCCATGGGTTTGAACTGCGCTGGGTCCACACACACACACAGATTTTTTTCAGCCAACGGTGGGTCAAAAATACCATATTCGTGGGCTGTAGAACCCATGTTTACAGAGGGCCAACTTCTCATATGCAGGTTCCCCAGGGCTGACTGCGGGACTTAAGTATCTGTAGATTTTATAGCACTGGAATCAATCCCCCGTGGACACTGAGGGAGGACTGACTACTTCTTTCATAGTGTTCTGGGAAGAATCCAATGAGCTGGTGCAGACAAAGCCTTCGGGAAAACGTGGCACACAGAAGCCCTGAGTGGCGATCGGCTACTCCTATCACCTCAGCTGCTCTGGCCCTTCCTTGCTGACTCGGTGGGGCCTGGGTTCTCAGCCGCCTCTGCCTCCTCTTCCCTCCCGCCTTCCCTGCAGGGGAACTAGAGCTTGGAGGCAGGGGTCAAAGGCCTCTTTGCCCCCTGGAGACCCACGGGCTGGAGCCCAGCTGTTAGACAGCTGCTGCCCCTCAGTCTGCCCTTGTGCCCCTCTGCCTGGCATCTGCCCCACCCACTGCTGGCCCAAGAACAGCGCCACCCCCCCGCACCTGGCTGTGTGACCCAGGCAGGTCACTCACTTCATTCAGCCTCCCTTGCCCCCCAAATAGTACCCACCTCCTAGGGTGGTGAGGACACAAGATAATTCCTGCCTGGTGCTTATCCCAGTGCCTGGCACACAGTAAGATCCCCAAAAGTGCAGTTACTGTCATGCTGCCTCTGTGTCTTTGCCCCTGCTACTCCTGCTGGAAATGCCCTCCCTCTTCCACGTCTCCCCTGGCAAACTCCTGGGCATCTTTTGGAGCTGAGGTGACGATTCTTCCTCCTTGAAGCTTCCCCACCCTCCAGAGACGAGCGGCACTCCTCTGCCCGTGCCCACAGCATGAACCTCTACATCTACTGCAGCCCTTGCTTGCTGCAGGGCCCAGATGTGGTGGGTTCCTCCAGGGCAAGGGACAAGCCCCTGACTTCCCAGAAGCCAACACCTCCCTGGCCCATGACAAGTGCTCAACAAATACTTGATGAATTCATTGAAAAAATAAATGAGGGGCTCTCAGGTCAGACTGCCTGGGTTCAAAGCTCAGCCCAAAGTGAGCTGAATCCTCCTTCTGTCCTGCCCCAGGGAAGGCTGGGGCTGCTGGGTGGGCAGTGAGCAGCTGGAAAGTGTGGCCAGGACTGACAAGAGAGAAAGCAGATGGAGAATGCTGAAGTTGCCTTCTTCCCTTCAGGGTTCCAGGAACTCACCTTTCTCTCTCTTTACTTTGAGATTCTCCCTGTAGTTAGTTTTCTTCAGCTCTTCAATGATTCCTTTGTTGGCATCGTCCAAGGCCTGTGGACGACAGAGGGAGCTAGTGAACTCAACTCATTTGGTACCTGCACGTTTTCCTTTCCCCAGCCAAGCCCCAGTCCCAGAAAACAGGGTCCTGGTATGACCCCGCCAACCTCGGCTTCCTTCTGGCTCCTCTGGAGACTTCTGCCCTCAGGTTAATTTATACTGATTGACTGGGAATTATCCACATTAAGTGGTACGAGAGAGACATGACTACAGGTAAGTCTGAGTTCATTTCTCCAGGGCTTAGGCATGTATCTGGGAGTTCTGTCTGTCTACTGATTTCTGTCCCTTTACCTAAAGCTGCCCTTGGCTTCAGTCACTGTAAAAAGACCATCCAAGCCCCTAAGCACTCAGCAAGGCGGCAGGCCATGGAGGGGACTCAGAAACACACTGAGGGTATGGGCTGGGGGGCCGGCCCACCTTCAGAAGGGGCTACGAGGGTGTATGCAGTTTCCCCAACTCCAGTTTGCAATGCACAGGGGCCTGCAGCCAGCCTGCGAGCATCCTGAGGGCAGGTTCTGCCTCCTCCTGGCAGTGGTGCTAGTGGCTAGCACCGGGCAGAGCAGTGGCGGCCCTCAGCCACGTTACTGAGGGGCCTGGGCCTGGATGCTCTCTTGTGGTGTTGGTCTGCCCCGTGAGCCTTTCTGCCTGGAGATGCCAATCTAGTGGGATGAGGGGTCAGGGACCTGGTCCCCTGGGGAATTACTGAGGGCCCATGGGCACTGCCTCTCAACCCTTTAATCGCTGCCAGCTTTCAAAGTGACCTCAAAACTTCCTCACTGGGAGAGCCTCCAGCCCTGCTTCCCAACTGGGGCTCTCTCACTCTGAGCAGTCCCTTAGAACGCTGGTCATGAACTAGGGTTTGTGCTTTTGTTTTCATCTTCCCGCTGAGACCAATCTTCCTGGTTGTACACCTTCCTGGTTGTGCCAGGACCTGGCCGCGCACCTTCGGGCTGGGCAGCCTAGAGCTGACCCCTGCCCGGTGAGTATTTACTGAAGTGCACTGCCGCTCGGTCTCTCTCCAGGTATCTGCAGGGCAATCATGTGGAATAGGATTAAGTGGGACAGAACATGGTTGTGAACGTGGAGCACAGACAGCAGGGCTTTAGTGAAGGTGGGCGTTCCTCCTCTGGAGGCCAGAGGTAGGGGCAGGATGTACATTACGGGGAGCTGTCTCCCCTCAGCGGAAGGAAAAAGACAGCAATGTGAAAAGCCCCAGCGGCCCTGGGGTGGGGGAAGCCGGGCACAGACTGCCACCTGCTGGCGTCTCCTGGGAGCGATTTCTCCACCGTGATGAATAATGTCAGTCTCAACCCGGTTCTCACAAAGGGCACACAATGAACTTGCCTCCTCAAAAAGCAAGTGGGTCACGTCACTCCTCTGCTGTCTCTCTTTTTTTGGCAGTTGGCCGGTGTGGGGCCCCAAACCTTGACCTTGGTGTTATAACACTGCACTCTACCCAACTGAACTAACCGCCAACCCCAGCTGTTGACAGCCCTTCAAGTCCAGACTGTCTGTGAACCCTATCAGCCCTGCGGTCCAGGCCTAGGGTCTCTTTTCTGCCCACCACAGGCCCCTCATGCCCAAGATCCCGCATCTTCAGGGATCTTGCTCCTTCTCGGCCTGGCCAAACCCTGCTGTCCTTGACCTGCAGAGCCCAGCATGAGGCCACTGCCAACTGGGAGCATCCTGCGTGTCACTGCCTAGGGTCCCTGCTCCCTTTCCCCAGTGCTGGTTGCATCTCCGGTCTGGTCCCTGAGGCTGTGGCCCTTGCACTGTCCACATGTTACACAATCTGGTCTCTTTCAACCACAGGGCAAAGCATGCCAGGGACATGGGCCCCATTTAATTCACCCCAGCAGATGCTTATTGAGGTCCAGCCATATACCAGTGGTGGCTCCAGAATTTCAATGTGGGAAGGGCTTAGGGACAGCAGTCTGGTTGGCAGCAGGACATGGGATGGTTAGGGGATTCATCTTAAGCTGCCTGTGCATCTGCAAAGTTGGCATGCTGACTTTACTGGGGTTCTGCATCGACCTGGAGTGGCTCTGACAGTGGGACTGGAGGAGGCTGAAGCACCTCCAAGCTTCCCCTGGCTTCAGCTGTGGTCTCTGCCTCCTGACACAATCTAGGCCAGCACCGTCCAACAGAAATTTCTATGACTTGGGCCGGCCCAGTGGCTCACTCGGGAGAGTGCGGTGCTGATAACACCAAGGCCCTGGGTTCGGATCCCATATAGGGATGGCCGGTTCGCTCACTGGCTGAGCGTGGTGCTGACAACACCAAGTCAAGGGTTAAGATCCCCTTACCCATCATCTTTTAAATAAAAAAAAAAGAAATTTCTATGACTATGGGAATATTCCAGATCTGTTCTATGTGGTACATAGGCCACATGTGGCTAGTGAGACTGAGAAATTGAATTTTACATGTCATTTACTTCTTAAATTTACTTTTAATTAACTTTTTTTTTTTTCCTTTTTGTCTTTTTTCGTGACCGGCAACAGATCGCAACCCTCAGTGTCGCGCCCGTACCAGACCGGGACCGGCAACGGGATCGCAACCCTCAGTGTTGTGCCTGCACCTCGCTCAGCCAGTGAGCAGCCGGTCTGTATGCGGGATCCGAACCCTCGGTGGGAGCGCCGCCACGCTCCCAAGCGGCGCACTGTAGCAGTGTGCCACTGGGCCGGCCCTACTTTTAATTAACTTTAAATAGCCACATGTGGCTGGCAGCTGCCTCACTGAGCAGTCCAGGTCTACACGATTACAACAGACAGGTCTGGACTTTGACAGGGACATATGGGGGCTGTGGGAGCCAGCAGAGACAGGCATCTCACCCAGACCTAGGGGTCAGAGAAGGCCTCCTGGAAGAGGGAACATCTAAGCTGAAACCTAAAGGTTGAGTGGGAGTAGCCAGGTGAAGGAGGTGGAAGGGGAGAGCTTAGAACATTCCAGGCAGAGATAACAGTATACTCTAAGATGCATAAGAATGCCTGTTAATGAAAGGCAGGAAGCTGGCCTTGGCAAAGTGGAATGCCATGTGATGGTGGTGGGGTGGGACTGACCAGCAGGATGGCTAGAGGGGCCCAAAGGGGAAAGGTTACCAAAGGCCTTCCCAGGACCAGAGGGAAAAAACCAGGAACTTCCTCCCAGAGACTCCCAGAAAGCAACAAAGAGTTTAAGCAAGAGGGCGAGGAAATCACAGTGTATTTCTTGTTGTCTCCAGAGGAGGTAGTATTTTTCAAACTGCAAATCCTAAAATCAATTTAGATGGTCTCAACCAGCATTAAATAAAAGAAAATAGGGTACAATGGGAAATATCAGTGTGCACAGTACACAGTAGAGGTAAATATGTTTGGTCAAACTTTTGTTTCCGTTTTTTTGCTTCAAATAAAACTATGTGCACTGGGTTGTCATACAAATTGATGGCAGCAGTGAACATTTCAAAACCACTTCCCTGCCTAGAATGGGTCCTGCAGCTGGTGGGTAATTAATAGACAGCTGAGGAGCAGCCAACTACAAAGGCTGAGCAGGAGCTGAGGGCCCAACCCCACGCCCCACCCCGAGGCCCAGGGAGGGGAGGCTCACACTGATGATGGCCTGCTGTGCCTCGTTGTTATGGACAAGCTTCGCTCTCTCCAGGGCCTTCTCAAAGTTGTTCACAGCCGACTCGAAGTCTCTCAGCTTTACTGGAGAGCACAGGTAGGTTGTTACACTGGGTGTCACGTGAGGGAGCCACCAAGCCACTCCCAGGGCCCGTGGAAGTGTGTGTGAGCTGGAGTCAGCCTGAGTACACTCCGGCACCAGCACTGAGCAGCTCACCACCATCCTTTCCATCCCATTCCTGGGCCGTCTGGTGAGACGTCACCAGAATCTGGGAACCTGAGCCTTGGATTTCTGGCAGTTCAAAGGGGTCAGTGAGGGGAGGGGACCTGGGGTATGGACCAGTGCACACACTGTGCCTCCAGGAAATCCATATTTTTTAAACGGTCATTCCAATTTCTCAAAAAACACTGCACAGACCGAACAAAGCATGGAGGACTGGAAGTGACCCGTGGATCCGCTGCTGGAACCTCAGCTCTCTCAAGTCCAGCTCCCACGCTGGTGCCATCTGAACCCAGAGAGGAAGCAGCTCCTCTGAGCTCACCCAGCCAATTAGTGCTGGAGCTGGGACTGAAATGATTAACTGATAGATAGATTGATTTGTGCCTTTCAAAAGAGCTTCAGTTCAGGCAGGAAGGAAAAAAGTGCTCACCAGCCAGCATCTAGGAATCTACACCACAACTGCTTCACACAGCACTGCTTTCTTTTATAAGTGAGCACACCCTTCCAAGTATCGCTTTGGGATCCATGCAGAAAGGAGGGCCTGTGTTCATAAGTCAAACTTCAAAAGGCTCTTACATTTGAAAGGAGATTCAAATGTAATTCTGCAGATATGTGGGGTCACAGTAAATGAGCTCAAATATACATTTTTTTTCAGATGCAGTGTTCATTCACAGACTAGTGGGATTCTGACTTTGAACTCTGTATAGGAGTCATAATGCTTAGTCAAGAGAGTAAAGCATTAAATAGCACTATTCTTTTAGATCTTAACTAAATACATAATCTAAAGTTATCTCAATTCTAGGGGCTGTTTTCCTATCCCTGTGCTGCATGCACAAATTCACACATTTATACCTATATTTTTGTTGAGCCATAAACAGGCTTTTCCAAGCACCATAATTATTTCTCATCACTGTTAGAGATACTTATGGGAAGTCAATAAGATGAGCAAGGAGAAAGGAATTAACAGTTATGGAGCACTCACTGTACTCCAGTTCCTGTTCTAAGTGCTTAGGCGCTTAAGTATGACCTTATTTCTCACAACCATCCCATGATTATCCTGTTACAGATGATGAAACTGAGGCACAGAATGACACTTGCCCAAGGTCCCTGAGCCAGGAGCTGTTCTGGCTGCCGAGCCCAAGCTCTGCCCACTAAGCTGTGCTGCCTCTAGAATCTGCCCAGCAGCTCCCAGGCTGCAGCATTTGATTTCTGCAACTCCAGAGCAGGGAAACTGAGACCCACAGATTGTACTTTGGTTCTCCAAGGGCCCTAAGGCTCTAATAAGTCCTCAGGAATTGACTCCAGATGTCAGCCCTGAGGGCTAGAGCATGTCACTCTTTCAGCCTGTAGGATGCCCTCCCAAGAACAGGAAAGGGATCCAGAAAGAACCACAGTGATCATGTCTCCCCCAGTTTAAGTTTTGCTGGTTCTTCTCTATGCTTTTAGAAAAGAATCTGTAGGTTGTGTCTAGGCCCATGAAGTCCTGCAGACCTGGCCTCTCACCAGCCTCCTCCCTCCACGTGGTCCTGGCTGTCATGAGCTCGCTGACACTCCTGTTTTCCTTCAGCTTCTTAAGCCAGAACTCCTTGCCACCTTCTTACCTGCTGTTTCTTTGACTGGAAAGCTCTGCCCTCAGCTCTTGGAAGAGCTGCTTGAAAGTTACCTCCTCAGACATGAGGGCAGGAAACAGTTGTCAGTTTTGCTCCCTACTGCATGCCCAACTTGGCAGAAGGTGCCACGTATCTGTACTATGAACAAGTGAATAAGTGATTATGGTGCCTTCTCATCCTTAAAGTTTCTGCTTGAAAGTTACCTCCTCAGACATGAGGGCAGGAAACAGTTGTCAGTTTTGCTCCCTACTGTATGCCCAACTTGGCAGAAGGTGCCACGTATCTGTACTATGAACAAGTGAATAAGTGATTATGCCCTGATTATGGCGCCTGTCACATTTCCTCCCTTGCTGGGCTGAGCTGCATGCCTGGGGCAGGGGCACTTTAGCACAGGAATTAAGAGCCTGACCTCTGGAATCAGACAGAACTGGGTTCCAGTCCCAGCTCCATCACTTACTAGAAATGTGACCTGGGGCCAT